CCGAACTTCAAACTCATCCATGCCTCATTGTTCATTCTTGAAGTAAACTTGTGTCTGTTTGGTGATTAAATAAACAGTTTTAGACCGCTGCTGGAGTTGAACGCGACGCGTCCGGAGTGTGTGTGATACCGGTGAGTTCTCCTAGACTCAGCGCTGCGCTTTTATTTTGATTAGACAATCATCAAGTGTTCAAGAATAGAAGTTAAAGTGTGCAAGTATACATACAATATGAAAGCACTATTTTAGTTTTTGTTCAGTATCAATTTTAAAACTATCGGTTAATTAATCGGTATCGGCCAGTGTGGTCCAACCTAGCATCGGTATTGGCAAAATCCACTATCGGTCAGCCTCTAGTATTTGGTTTGTGCATATTTGGTTTTATAGGGTAATGCATAAACAGCGAAGAAATCGATTTTATGACTGTTAATGGTTTGCATGTGCTCTCACTTGATTTAACTGTGCCTGGAGTCTCTCGGCCTCCTCATCTGTGAGTTCTTTGATTCTGGGCTCCTCTGTGTCCTGCTTCCTCTTCTTCTCCTCTTCCTTCAGTTTAGCAGCTCTGTCGGCCTTCTCCTTCTTCTCCTTCTCTTGTCTGGACTCTTTCTCTTTCTGGACTTTGAGGGCGAGCTGATTGTGATGAGCAAACGCCTCTTTAACCAGCTACAGGACAAACAAAAGGGAATGCAGATCAATCATCGATTGGTGCTCAATACGTGCTGAATTAAAAATAAATAAATAATTAAATGACAAAAAATCATTTTGAAAAATATTTGAGATGAATTTCAAAGTGTTTGTAAAATTTATTGTGGCTTTAGAAAACCTACAGAGTTGTATGGACTACCGTTATGCAGCATCTTTTGACTTTTATGGAGCTTGGTAGCCTGAATCACAGCTGATTTTAATTCTAATTTTACAACATACAGGTCTGCAAGGACTGAATGATTTATATACACTACGAGTCAACAGCTCGTGGTCGGCAAGATTAACAAAATACAATAAAAGATGATTTTGAAAGGGGTCTCTTATGCTCATTGTCCAAAGCTTAATTTATTAATATTTTGAAATAATATTACAATTTAATACAATAATTTTTCTAGGATGATATGCGATCAAAGCTGTATTTTCAGCATCATTGCTCCAGTCTTCAGTGTCACATGATCTTCAGTCTAATATGCTGGTTTCTGCTCAAGAAACATTTCTGATTATTATCTATGATTATTATAATCGTGGAAACAGTGAGTCCCTTTTCTTCAGGATGCTTTGATGAAATAGAAAGTGTAAAAGAACAGCATTCATTTGAAATAGTAGTCTTTTGTAACATTATACTTGTCTTTACTGTCACTTTCGATCAATGTAACGTGTCCTCACTGAATATTTACATTTTAATTCAAAGACATATATCTTATTAGCTATATCTTACTAGTAGTGCATCATACATTTATATACAATATTAAATAGTTTTTCCATGTTGATGGCAGAATATTTGAACTGTTGGGTGAACTATTCCTCCAAGATAATAAATATATATATATATATATATACACAGGATAATTCTCAAATATATTTCTGAAACATAAAGAAAGGGGGCATCAAAATCCAAACCTTCTCTGGGGCTCCAGGCTCTCCTCCCGTGAAGAAATCGGTTTTCCTTCTTAGAAAACTGAATAATGTGTTCACCAGCTGTTAATAATAATAATAATAATAATAATGAAGAATAAATGAGATGCCAAGAGTGACAGTACCTTACTATAACTCCTGCATACATAAACAATAAATGCTAACAGCGTATGAATGTGCTCTCCTGCCAAGCCAACACTAACAAGCAGTCAAGTCCTCTTTTATTAATAACAGTCAACAGCTCGTGGTCGGCAAGATTAACAAAATACAATAAAAGATGATTTTGAAAGGGGTCTCTTATGCTCATTGTCCAAAGCTTAATTTATTAATATTTTGAAATAATATTACAATTTAATACAATAATTTTTCTAGGATGATATGCGATCAAAGCTGTATTTTCAGCATCATTGCTCCAGTCTTCAGTGTCACATGATCTTCAGTCTAATATGCTGGTTTCTGCTCAAGAAACATTTCTGATTATTATCTATGATTATTATAATCGTGGAAACAGTGAGTCCCTTTTCTTCAGGATGCTTTGATGAAATAGAAAGTGTAAAAGAACAGCATTCATTTGAAATAGTAGTCTTTTGTAACATTATACTTGTCTTTACTGTCACTTTCGATCAATGTAACGTGTCCTCACTGAATATTTACATTTTAATTCAAAGACATATATCTTATTAGCTATATCTTACTAGTAGTGCATCATACATTTATATACAATATTAAATAGTTTTTCCATGTTGATGGCAGAGTATTTGAACTGTCGGGTGAACTATTCCTCCAAGATAATAAATATATATATATATACACACAGGATAATTCTCAAATATATTTCTGAAACATAAAGAAAGGGGGCATCAAAATCCAAACCTTCTCTGGGGCTCCAGGCTCTCCTCCCGTGAAGAAATCGGTTTTCCTTCTTAGAAAACTGAATAATGTGTTCACCAGCTGTTAATAATAATAATAATAATAATAATAATGAAGAATAAATGAGATGCCAAGAGTGACAGTACCTTACTATAACTCCTGCATACATAAACAATAAATGCTAACAGCGTATGAATGTGCTGTCCTGCCAAGCCAACACTAACAAGCAGTCAAGTCCTCTTTTATTAATAACGCAAATCTGTGTTTATATTATAGCAAGTCATGCTGCATCAGCTAGCTCGGCTGCTAGCATGTGTTGACATGTTGACCGTTACCTCCTGCACTCCTCCTTCATGCTGCTGCGCCATGGCCAGCAACATCCCATCGTACTGCTCCTCTTCATCTCCCATCTTCAATATTTACTGCAGATTACAGACGATAAAAACTATAACTTGGTGCGTGAAGCTAACAGTCACGCTGTCACCGGTGTGATGCCTAGATACTTCCTAGCTACAAGGACCGCCCACGTTTTCTTTAGAACCAATCAGATCGCACACATTTGAAGGACACACGCGCGAACCAATCAGCTGGCAGCTTCGGGAACCGATGAGGCAGGACGAGCTTCTAGAGCAGAACTTTCTAGAGACCCTGATACACATGTGTACATACATTTTTAGATAGTATCTTTATATTACGTTTAAGAAACGCTCTTGCCAACAAAATAAATAAATAAATACACAATAACACAAGAACTAGACTACAAATACAAGGGCATCAGTATCATAGGCTATAGGCTTACAGTAGCCAACAAGAAAAATTGGACAAAAATAAATAAAATAATGGGGTGCTGTGTGTACATTAATGAGGAAAAAAATAACTTAAATGATTTTAGCAAATGGCTGCAATATAACAAAGAGTGAAAAATTTAAGGGGGTCTGAATACTTTCCGTACCCACTGTATATATAAATGCACACAGATGCATGCACGTTTAAGAAAAATATGCTATAATTATATATATAAATATTTATGTCTATATATTATATAAATTATATATGAATATAAATATATACTGTATATATGCATGTAAATATTTGAAAATATATATACATGCGTGTGTGTATATATATATATATATATGCGTGTGTGTATATATATATATATATATATATATATATATATATACATAATAAATATACACAGTACACACATTGTCAACACAAACTTTTATTTTTGACGTGATTATTCACGATTAATCACTTGACAGCACTAAAATAAAATAATACAATTAATTATTTAGTTCCTGAGAAAATGATATTTCAGTTTTCTTCCCATTATTCCCTTATTAGATTGCCAGTTACACTTCATTTGTATATGGATTAAATATTATACATAAGATTTAATTAACAACATGGTCATGACGGAGATGATGATTTACTACATGGTTTTAGATTGCCTAACCATGAAATTGCATAATGATGTGTAAATATTAATAAGAATAATACTTTTGTGTGTGTGTGTGTATGAAGAGTTAATTTGCAAAAACAGATAACTCAGTTTTTAACAATTTTCAAAAATCATGTTTTTTCATTGTGCATTCCAATTAATCTCAATCAAGCTGCAGTTGGGTTATTTTCACACACACACACACACACACATACACACACACGCACACACACACGCACACACACATGATTTTAGCAAAACTCTCTCTCACACTCACACACACAAACACACACACACACACACACACACACACACACACACACACAATTGATACTGTTAGATACCATTTTAAACATTATTTCAAATGCAATTTTTTTTTAACAAAACACTTACTGTTGTTGTGTTTATTCTGACATTATTTGCTTGAATATAGATTTAACATCTCCTTATTCGGCTTGCCTGCTTCTGAACACAAATTATTATGATAATAATTTGAGGTGAATGACCCAGAGCGCAACCTGTGGGTAAGATATCAAATCACTGGGTCTGTTATCTCAGATTCTCAAAAGGTTTTAGCGACTCATATAATACACGCTGAAATAATAATTAAGAATATTTTAATATAACTTTTCAAACAGTAGAATATAGCCTGTACTGTATTGTAGCCACTACTAATGAATAATAAACAGTGATATAAACCTCCAAGAAAAAGAAAAGCAAAATACTTTTATCTGTTATGATTATATTATCAGTCCTGATGCAGTGACATACTGAACTTTTGGCCCAAACTCAAGCCCAAAGCCAAGATAATATGACTCTATTAGTCCTTGGTGACTTGGTACAGACTGAGTTAATGACAGCTGAGCGTGATAAATGTCATTAACCCCTACTTACCGTCCTTACCGAACCTTACCGTCTCCACGTGGAGGAAAACTTTTGCTTGAAAGTGAATGGTCTGGTCCAGGTCAGAAGGGTCAAGGCTGAAGATTAGTCACATATTACATGAGCAGCTGCTATAAATACGCCTGGTAGGACAGTCACAATGACAACAGCTTCACATCAGAGGAAAATGAAACAGTACTTCAGCGACCGGCATCCTCGTGGAATTCTCTTCAGCATCCTAAGCCGTGAATGTGACTTTGCGTGCTTCGCTTATCCAGACACATGCTGCAGCTGTCATTGTAAGCGTTTGGTGTGCTTGAGAAACCCAGAGACCACCTGCCGTGTGGCTTTTGGGGTCCTGATAAAAACCGTTCACTTCATGAAGAGCTTACATTCCTTCCAAAACCTGGCACTCAGGGACCGGCTCATCCTTGTTGAGAAGCGCTGGGTGCCGCTCTTCCTCCTGAGTCTCGCTCAGGAGCAAATCTCTTTCGAGGTGAGGGTCGTCCCTGCGGCCAGCATCCTTAGAAACATACTGATGAACGGGCGGCAGAAACCAGACGACTGTCCACCCACCCTGGCAGAGGTGCACAAGCTCAAGACGTTCCTAAACAAAGTCTGGAGTCTGGATCTGAGTCTCGAAGAGTATTCATGTCTCAAAAGTGCAGTACTGTTCAGCCAAGGTGAGTTTTAAAAATAAATGCATGAACATGGCAAAAAGTGTGCTTAATTGTATTGAGTGTGCACTTGTTGTGGGCTTCAAATGTAAAAAAAAAAGTGTATTTTAAAAAAACTGCACTTATAGATAGTAATATTAATGAAGTAAAAGGCCACTTAAGTGAAAGTTAAAAGAGAGTTCACTTTCATGGCTAATGCTACCTAACACACTTAAATACACTTTAAAAAGTTTGACCTTAAAGTACATTTTAAATCACATTAATAATCATGTGTTGCATTTTAAATAAGTACACTTATGACTAACATACAAAAGCACATGAGTTACTTCATTAAAATTGTAACTGTATGTTATTCAATATGGTGTCATTTTACTTAATGTATATTTATATATGTTATACTGTATTTATTATATATACAGTTAATATGTTTTACATGTAAATTGCAACTTACAATTACAACTATTACGAATTACTTGGCATACAAGTTTCAATATGAGATCAGTCGTTTTAGTTTATCATTAATGTATGTAATTTATGTAAATGAACATTAAGTACAAAGAGTGATGTTTTTACCACCTGCAAGTAACTTTTGTGCATACATTTGTAAGCATAAGTTAATCAAACAGATAACACATAATAACAATGAGCAATGTAAGGTATACAGCATTTAACTATTCATCTTTGTTAATGTTAGTTAACAAAAATACAGTTGTATAACGTACATTCATAGTACTTCAGAGTCATATCAATGAGGAAATGTGATGTTATAATGTTGCTACGTTTATTTTTAAGCATGCAGGTGAAGGTTCAGATGATGGAAGTGGAAGTGAAGTGACATGTGGCCAAGTATGGTGGCCCATACTTGGAATTAGTGCTCTGCATTTAACCCATCCAAAAAGCCCACACACACACACACACACACACCCGGTCAACAATTCTGTGTTTTTCTGTCAATCTGGGGTGCTGTGTGTACTTTAATGAGGAAAAAAATTAACTTAAATGATTTTAGCAAATGGCTGCAATATAACAAAGAGTGAAAAATTTAAGGGGGTCTGAATACTTTCCATACCCACTGTATATTTTTTATTCAATCTGAGAGCTCTCTCACCCTCCCATAGAAGGACCCTTAAGCCTGTGTTATACTTTCCGCATCCGTGAGTCCACACTAGGGTCCGCTATGGTATGCATGACGTAAAAATCGTCATCGGAGAGTGTGCGCAAACACAGCTGGACTCAAATGAAGGTGTAGAACCATCTCAAGGATGATCAGAAGAAATGGACAGCACCTGAGTTAAATATATGAGTGTCACAGCAAAGGGTCTGAATACTTAGGACCATGTGATATTTCAGTTTTTCTTTTTTAATAAATCTGCAAAAATGTCAACAATTCTGTGTTTTTCTGTCAATATGGGGCGCTGTGTGTACATTAATGAGGAAAAAAATTAACTTAAATGATTTTAGCAAATGGCTGCAATATAACAAAGAGTGAAAAATTTAAGGGGGTCTGAATACTTTCCGTACCCACTGTATATTTTTTATTCAATCTGAGAGCTCTCTCACCCTCCCATAGAAGGACCCTTAAGCCTGTGTTATACTTTCCGCATCCGTGAGTCCACTAGGGTCCGCTATGGTATGCATGACGTAAAAATCGTCATCGGAGAGTGTGCGCGGAGGCTCCGCGCGGACATCCGCATGCCTCCCATTTTTTCGGTCAGTAGGCTACTGCGCATGCGCAGGCTGTGTGAAGAAGCCCGTTGCTACTCGAACCTGTACAATCCATCGATAAAACAATATAAAGACAGCCAGATGTGCAATAACTCTGGGCAATTCTTTGTTCACATGTTTGTTTATTGTTCAAGCAGATCTACTATGCACGTATGGAACACGTCTGCGGAGCGGACCATCAGTGTATGCTTTCGGAAGTATAAATACAAGTAGTCCGCGCTGTCCGTGTACGCGGCCGGATTGCTCATGCGGAAAGTATAACACAGGCTTTACACGATCAAGGCACAGAAACATAGCAAGGACTTCGTTAAAATAGTCCATGTGACATCAGGGGTTCAACCGTAATTTTATGAAGCTACGAGAATACTTTTTGTGCGCAAAGAAAACAAAAATAACGACTTTATTCAACAATTTGTCTCCTCCACGCCACCCTATAGCGCCATTTTGGAGAGTATCACATACGTAA